AACAGGCTCGTCTAAGGTGAAGACCGGTGTCAAGTTAGGTTGCTTACTCTCACCCTCTCTCTGTCTCCTGGTGATCAATTGGATTACGAACATATCAATATCTGCAGGAAATCACGGTGTACAGCGGACAACCGGTATGTACCTGGGCGATCCTGACTTCTCAGATGATTGCACACGCAACAACAATTGAAAGAGAGGACGTCCAATGTAGCAGCAGCCTCAGTAGCAGCCAGTCTTACCAAACATAAAGGAAAAAGCAAGATTCTCCGATACGAGATAACACAGTCCAGCCAAATAGCTCTTTATAGAGATGATTTGAAGGGGGCGAAAATCTTTACATATGTGGGGATTCGAACCTAGGACGTTCGGTCTTGAGCGCGAAAGCCTAATCTCTGAGCCAATAAGCCTGCATCCAAGGGTGTTAGTGTCTATCATTCACAAGATAAAGTTGTTGAGTAACACTTTTCTACACAAGATACTTCAGATCCGTTTGCCATACACCATCAGCATCAATTTAGTGTGGGAGGGAATTAAGCAGATTCCAGTGGAGTAAGAAATCAGGAAGAAGAACTATATTGATATTTGTATTGAGAACTGTAAATTTGGTGTTGGTTGATAGTTGTTTTGGGTTGCGAATGTACGTCAGTTGTAGAAATACAGCCCTTGCTTTGCCGACCTGCACCTTTGCATCTGCATCAGATCCAATTTGCTTGTCAGTGATGCTTCCCATACATATATAGATTGATCAGAGTTAGACAGTAACACCCTTGGATGCCGGCCCATTTGTCCAGAGTTCGGGCATTCGCACGCCTACTCGAATATCCTGGGTTCGAATCCTGTGAGGTGCAGGAATCGTAGATGCGCACTACTGATGAGTCCCATACCAGGACAAAGCGCCTGTCCAGTGCATCCAGGTTTCTAATAGTGGTCTAACAATGGTTGATTGATGATCTAAATGTGTAAAAACACTTATCTCCATAACTCTAATTGAAAAAAACATATGTAAAGGTTTTTACATCTTTCGAAGATTCATCGTCAAGTGTGATTTGGTCTATAAATATCTTAGACTCTGACTAATTGGTACTAAACATTCTGGATCCATTTCAACACGCTTCTGTTTAATACTGTACAGGATTTCTTTACTTGAATAAAACTGATGCATATTCTATCCCCTGAGTCATTTCTATCGGAATACAATTGCTGGTAGTGCTTGGTGTTAGACTCAATATAAATCCTATTCAACCAAAAAGAGGTCTATTTCTGGTGTTATGACAACAGCAGGATTATGTCATTGCAGTTGTGTATTAAGTTCTACTATAGTTTGGTTATTGATTACTATCAAGTGAGTTCCATCAAGAATCCGTCTCCATACCATTGCGATTAACAGAGAGGTAAATAAAATCATCTAGCATAAGGTGCCACCATCAGGTAACCCGAATTTTAGTTTATTAAGAAAAAGTTCATCTATATTTTTAAGCTCATAGAACATGTTGACCAGCCTGATATCTTGTCTTCTGGATTCCAGCTGACGTCTCACTAATTCGCGTGCTTCTGATCCATGTGCTGACACTAAGGTGAATCTAACGGTTAAGATGACCTACAAGTAATGGTTAACATCGCCGCCTCTATCTCTTAGTCTTGCGAGGAGAGAAACCCAACCACTGAATTTCGCTACCACTTATTTAGGACGTTACCCGCGATACTAACATAGTTATGGGATTCGGGTTTGAACTGTCCTCTATGTTTCTGAACTCTATCCTTTTATTTATTTGGTTTCGGACAAATGTGTCTGAAAGCATTCTTCCTCTGAAATATCCATCGTGCTACTTGAGTAAGTTTGCGATTTTGAGCCTAAGATTTATGAACATGAGTTCTCAAGCATATATAAATTGACATAAATGTTTTAGATGTACCCAAACTAAATATGTGTAGGTAGGCATAAAACTTTTTTTCATCTTACTGAAGGACTTCTAACATCACCAGTTGTGGACTCATAGTAAGTCTCCAGTCACATTGGACTTCATTTGTTTCCTTTAAAGCCGGTTAGCTGACGACTTCGTCCTAGAAGATTCAAATAATTCAAATAATTGCGAACAGAATATGTACCTTGTTCAGAAAGTATGCCTTGAACCTTAAAGACATTTGTCAAGCTAATGGACTCCTCGCTATCTACTAGGCATAAACTCTTCCTCACTTTTATCAAAATCTAACGAGAGGAAATTTAGAATGTTGATAAATCTGCATTTTACACCTACTCAGATGTTATAGTAAACTTAACTGAGTGGTATTTAGTGTGCTCACATTCGAAGCTAAAGAACTTGCGGTCACAACATAAAAGGCAGGCATCTCTACACTCTAGTAGTGGTCGTAAGTTATGACCTGTGACACTCAAATTTGGTTGCAGATTAAATTTTTGAAATTACATATTCATTTAGATGGAATCTTGCCTATTTAGGTAAGATTACGTTCATCACGGGGTAAACGGTTCTTGATAGATATAAATTAATATATTGTTTGTGGACCTGAAACACATGATTAAAAAACGACTTCAAAATTTGGAAATGTATTCAAAAGACAAGTGCCTACATAATTCTCAAGCTTTGTACCTTAAAATATTGGATGTAGGTCGCAAAACTAGACTACATCACTGCAAATTACCATGAATTAAAAACCGATTTAGTTTTGATGTACAGGATATAGAAAAACAACTTTGGATCCGACATACCCTTTTGTTTGTTCTAATTACGTCAGAAAAACCTACGGAACACAGTAAATGGGTTTAGGAGCCATGAGCTGTCAAAGAATAGTACTCTCACAGAGGCTTTCTTGAAGAGTGTTCAACTCTCAAAACCTACTTTCAATTAACCCATCAAGTTATCATTTTGATTGATAATATAGGACCAAAAAAATCACATCAGACTCTTAATGCATTAGCCTCAACAATGATATGGTAAACATACCGGGACAGTCACAAAACAAGCACGAACTTCGTAAAGACCAGTAACTTGTAAAATAGCGAACAACTTTTTCTAGAAAGAGTGATGATTCACAGAAAATCTCTTAACAATATACTGGCGTAAGATAACGCAGCTTGATAACAGGGCATCTGTTAATACCGTTTATCTTGAGTTCAGCGATTCATTTGATGCAGCGCCTTCTCAGTCTCCAGAAATTAGGGTATTGGGCTTGAAGGAAATATCTTGACTGTTATGAAAGTAATTTTCTTGAATGATCGGCCCTAATCTGCCAGACAGACAAGATTGTCACTTGCAAAATTTTGGAGTAACTACTCAGAGGAAACCGCCGTTTTAGGAATGACTAGCAGCATTGTTGTGTTGCAATTTATGTAACTACACAGCAGGTGAACGGTGTCATACAAATTTATTGATTGTAGGAATCTTAAAGTCAATACTCGCAGAACACTCAGAACTATGAGTCGGAGATTTACATACTGATATGGCGAAATGTTCAAAGCATTTCACACAGCCTTCGCAAGGTTGCATTTGCAATACGAGATTTAGGCACTGATTACTCATTTCAAAGGTGCAGCGGATGTTCAAAACCGAATTAAACAGTAGGGCACCAAAACAGTGGATGGTCTCACTGACCTATCTTATGAAGAAAGAGGCTCTAAAGCTTGTTTTCGTTATCCAGAGATAGAGTGATACAAGCTAATTGTACAGTTAACAGTTATTATATCATCCAATATCCAATATCTTTTTCACGAGCTAGTGTAAACCAATTTGATTTCTTCGCGCTCCATTCTTGTTCTTTCCATACGGTTCCAGGTGTTCGGTAATGTCCAATGGATGGAGGTCTAGCCACTCGACTGTCTAATTCTAGTCAGTTGGCAGTTGGTTGTGAGTTTGTATGTCTCGGGATTTGAATGAAAAGTTTGTTTCAGGGCAGTAGGGTTTCTGGATACTAGCAGCCGTCACAGTACCAAACCGGAGATCAGTTAGTTGCAATGTGGAGAGTAATAAGGGTAATAAGGATAAATTAAAATGATAATATGAGTAAAATTTCAGAACTGAGTAATATATAGATGAATTTAGTTTATTAATTGGTAGTGAAGATTGTGAGAGAGGACCGAAGTGTAAGCAAGGGAGAGGAATAGGCGAGATAGATTAATTGAGTGATCTGAGGAGATGGCAATGGTAACAACTAGCAGGTCTCAAGATATGCATCAGGCACAGCTTGTCCAAGAGGGAGATGATAGTCCGCATGTGAGTACGTGATTATCAAGTCTCTTCTTAAAGCAGTCCTCTGAGGGGGCTGTAACTACCTCGGCTGGGAGAGCATTCCAAGTTGCGACGACTCGCAATGAGAAAAAGTGTGCACGAATCTGAGTGTTTGCTCTTTGATGTGCAATCTTTTGAGGATTGCCTCGAGGGGAGTGGTGGTGATGCATCGGCAAGATGCTCACATTGGGATGGTTGGGCGTGTTTAATATGGTGTACGCCATAATCAGGTCACCTCTGATTCTCCTGTAGCTCAGTGGGAATAATCCCTTTTCCTTCCAGCTAGAACTGGTCATCTACGAAAACAAACTAAGAAAATTCAAGAAATCGAGACTGAATCATCAACATCTTCGGTTTCTTTTTTCGCCCCGAGTAGGGGAACCCTCTGCCACAATACCTAAAGTCAGCCTTTTCTGTTGGTTTGTTTAAAAATTCCACTTTTCCACATCACCATAATATGCGGTATTAAAACGAGTCTAACTAGAATTCAGGAATGAAGGGGCTCAGAGAAACATGTGGAAGATAGTCGCTATGTCTCGAACTGCGTAATTCAAACTAGCTAGTTTTGACGGTGGATGCGTTACAAGGTTTACTGAATGCTGATATGGTATGGATGCGTGTCTGATAGTTTTCAACTAGTGTAAAACAATACCTGAAGCAATTTACTTTTGGAATTTATTTCGTAATAATATAAATTTACATATGTTAAGCAATCTGTCATTACTACTAATGTCTGAAGACCGATTGGACAAGGACCTTGAGATCTTGGCACAATTTCGTAAGTCATGATGTACCGTTGGAGTCGACCTTAACGGCTTTGCACGTGTGTCGAAACCGTTGGGGGAAATTTTAAACGTAAGTAACTTACATACCATACCACACATCATTTTTGTGTGTTTTTTAAGCCAAAATTAATCAAATTTCGGAAGTGAATGCAAATCCTCTGTTAAGTGTATTTGATAACATGCAAACAGCAGGACAAACTGAACAAATAAGTTGTTAGTGATAAGTATCAGATTTTCTTGCGTGATATCAAAGCCTTTAAGAACAAGTATGATTTGAATAGCTGCTGCTGTTACAAAACCGTATCCCTAGTGTTGGCAAGCAGTGTTTGTGTGATTATGTTATTTGTCTTATAATATTTAATATCTTTTTCACGAACTAGTATAGACTGATTGGTTTCCTTGCGCTCGGTTCCTGTTTTTTCGGTACGGTTTTTAATGACTTTTAAATGATCCACGTCAAGATGATCAAAATCGTTCAAATAGTTTGTAGTGGTTTACTTCTACGAAGAAAACAGTTGCTGAAATAATAACATCTATTGTTGTACTTAATTCTGACAATAATTGTTATAATTTACACCTCTTGTTTATCTGTACTAGAGACTATCTCTCGCGTGTCAAGCGTGTTATTCCCTTTCTACTCTTCGCACGTCTCCTGCGTGGACGTTAGCCGTTTGTACGCCCTCTTGCCTAGATATTATTTTGATATCACGAGGCAAGTATCAAATATACTTCTTCCTCTAGAATCGACTTCTTATTTGATTCTCAGAGTTCCGAGATTAACATATGTTATTCCGAAACTACTAATAAGCAATAAAAAGTATGTTTACGTTCCAGCTCATCTCTTATGCATCTGACTGACTGACTCATCTCTATCTGATCCTATCTAGAGTTTTCGTGAAACACAGATATATTAATCTCAACTTCTTCAGATCCTAGATTGTAGTCCATATATCGAACACTGTCAGCAGATTGAAGTGCAGCAGTGCTCCTTCCCGGAACCTTTATGTTAGGTTGAAAATAGGTTTTCAGACTGCAATTAGTTATGTAGGTCATTGTAACCCAAGGATTCCATAACTTTCAGAGGTAATGAAAGGAGAGTTACTAATCGGTAGTCTGAAAGATCATTGAGTTGACCCACTCTAATATTTGTAGTGTTGTGTTTCATGTTCTTATTGTTTGCAACAACACCTTGGATCAGTGAACGTAAGAACAGTGGACTAGAGGATGTTGCCGAGGTTCAGGTGGCTTCCATCAGTATAATAGAGTGAACCTTGTACAGACCGTGATATGTATACTTACATAGAAAAGCACTTTAAAGTTGGAATACTTCACCTCTTGAACTGACAATAATTGCAAAAACGTATGAGGATCTAAGGGAAGACAAAAAGGGAATATTAGTGCGCCACTGTGAATAATCTTTTTGTCACGCAAATACAAGAATATTGATTAGAATAATCACACAAACCCAAACCAGGTAGTCTGCACCAACCTTCATTACTCTTCAGTCCAACAGTCATGGACTAATTCCATATCCTGATTTAATCTCTCTCACAGCAACTGTAATCACTCATCAGAAAGGTTTTAAATGCCTGTATTAGTCAGTTTTTGACTTCATAATGTTGTAACCTTATTCCGATTCACATTAGTTGTGCAATGGTCTCACTATACCTGAGTAAATCGTGTGTAACTTAAAATCTGACACATGTGCATTGATCAACGTTACCGAACCACAGTACTACACTCTCCGTAAGCCAGAACCAAAAGCTTAAAACCTTGAACGAAGTGCGCTGGTTGCATTTCCGTACTTTTTTCTAAATAACACACTGTAAGGCCTGAACACCAAGATTGAAGCTGGTAGATAACTGACTCCCGTTGTTGTACCTGAAGTACAACCCACTGGTCGTGGAATTTACTCCCATGGTAGATAGTCTCCAAGATAACAGTATGCATTGCTTCGAGGATTGTAAAACAATTGTTAATGACTGACTTAAAACCAGGGTTATCTAACCTTCATTGACAAACTTATGTACTTGCTTACGCCTGCTACCCACCGTGTGGTATGGGTCGCCGACTAGCAACCTCCAACCAATTATGTCCTGTGCTCTTTCCAGTTGTTCCCAAGTTGCTATTCATTATTCTGATCTCTGCCTCAAATTCGCAGCGCAGTGTGTTCCCGGGTCTCTCCTTTCGCCTTGAGTATCCCAAGTTAAGGCTTGCTTAGTGACGCAGTTGGGTCATTTTTATGTTTCCTATCCATCTCCACTGCGTTTCCCTGATTTCTTCTTCAGCTGAAATCTGGTCTGCTCTCTCTGGCAAATGGATGAGTATCTTGCTTAGACAACTGTTGATAAACGCCTGTATCTTGTAGATGGCTTTCGTAGTTCACCGAGTTTCCACCCCATACAGTATAACTGTCGTGACATTTGTATCAAAAATTCTGACTTGAGTGTTGGTTGGAAGATGATTGTTTTGATTTCCAGATGTTCTCGAATTATAGAAATGCTTTATCACCCCGTGTCTTAACATCTGCGCAAGATCCACCTTGTTTATCAACGATGCTGCTTAGATATGTAAAGGTTTCCAATGCTTCTCCATAAAATGTGATTTGGTTGGTTCATGTTGTGTTTTATCAGAGAGCTTTGCCTTTTCCCTTGTAAATGTTGAATCATACTGCTGCCACACTGGTCTTCATCTGTATCTGTTGACGTTTGTGTGATAGAGGTGAAACTATCTCGAAAAAGGATGGTCTTAGGATTTGATTGTGACCAATTTGGTCTCGTGTGCTTTTATAGGTATGAGGGCGGATGTTACTTCCCGGCCACCCACACCGTGTAAGGGTGTTTCTTGAGGAACCTGAAAAAGAAGGTAGATTAGTGTTGGTCTTAGAGACCTGGGTGCGTGACCGCAAAGCCAAGGGGACAACTGTTTGAGGCCGGTTACTCACGGCCTTTTGATGAGAGGTTTTTTGAGTATTAACTCCGCTCTTTTTAAAGCCCTTATTTGGCACCCTTACCGCCAGAGACGGAAATCCGTGAGGTGTGACATTTGAGGGTTGACCTTTCCAAACCCCTTCTTTCCCTGTGAGAAGGCAGCGTCGCTGCAGATGCTGGTTGTCCGAGGAAAACACCTTACTGCTGTCACACCTCTCTGCAGTCAACAGTACGACTTCACCCTCAGACGTTGAGTAGTTGGTTTTAGTCTAACCGTTCTCCAACCGACCTGCCTGGCATGGTAGAACCTTCAGGAACATACGTTCCAGCAAATATAGCTCTGTTGAGTCATCACGATAGGCAGAGCTGGATGATCTAGGAAGTTCGGGTCGTCTATCCGCATCTGAGCTGTCCACTCTATTCCTTGCTTCCCCTCAAATGAGTTGTTGATACCTTCATAATCCAGCCAACCATCAGAGAAGGGGGGAGATTAAAAGTAAACGACCTTGTCTGACATCGGTTTTCACAATTTTGCAGTGTAGTTCATCGTAAGAATTCTGTATGATATTGACTATCTTCTTAGGTACACCGTAGTGTCGAAGAAGTTTCCATAATGTTCTCGTATCCACTTTGTCAAATGCTTTCTCATAGTCAAGGAAGTTGGTGTATAGTGGTGAGTTCCAATGAATTGATAGCTCCATAATGATCTGTAGTGTCGCGACTTGGTTTGTACGCAATCAGACCTTGCAGAATCTGGTCAAAGCTATCTACTTCCGGTCTCAAGCCTTGATAAAGCAGAAGTGTTGGGCGTAGGCTTGCAACCCCATCCCGTAGAAGAAATACTTTCGAAAAAAAAACGCTAGCCAGCAAAAATTTAAAATGTGTTCATTGAGTTTTAGAGGTAAACACCCAACTGCGATCTTTTTTAAATTACTACGTACAACCACTAAATAAGTCCATCAAAAAAGTGTTTGTTTACTAAGAAGTTGCTGTATGAGAAAATTTCCGTAGTGAAAACTAATAATGTACAGCACCTTTGTTTTCATATTTTATTATTTGAGAATACTCGCTAGTGCTTCAATAGGCCAGGTTTTTTTTTCATCTCATTCAATAATGACCTTCGAATTATCACATTCTTCTCCTCTTTATTTTAAAGATTTCCACATTCCTTTGAATTTGCCGGTCAAAAGTTTAACCATGTCTTCTAAAAGTTTCAAAGAACTAGTAAGTTTCAAATCCTATGCATATAACCATACTTACTATTCCAGGGTGTATGCAATGAACTGTGTGATGTTATTTCCACTCTTGGTTGGTCAAAACCATCTGAAATACAGCTACAAGCTATCCCAGCTGCTCTTCGTAAAAAGGATATAGTTGGGCTTGCAGAAACTGGATCTGGAAAAACTGCCGCTTTTGCTATACCGATATTACAAGATTTGTTGTCAAAACCAAGGCACAACTTAGCATTAGTATTAACTCCGACAAGAGAATTAGCTCTTCAAAGCAAACGTCTATTTATGGAATTAGGTGATAAATTTGGTTTGAAAGTAGTATGTTTAGTAGGTGGCCAACATGTCGAGGATCAAGTTCGTGATTTAAAACGACTTAAATTTCATATAATTGTTGGAACACCTGGTCGAGTTGTTTATCATTTGGAAAATACAAAAGAATTGCGTTTGAATCATGTCAGATTCTTTGTACTTGATGAAGCTGATCAAATGTTAGAGGATACTTTTGAAGAACAGCTGGCGTTCATCATGACAAAGTTACATCCGAATAAACAAACTTTCTTATATTCAGCTACTATGACACAGAATGTAAGTAGTAGTTGTTGTTGTTGTTGTTTTATGATCATTTTTAGGTTGAAAAAATACGTAAAGTATGCACTCAATCACCAGTGATACTTGAAATCAGCTCAAAATATACCAAAGTTGATAAGTTAGATCATGCATTTGTATTTCTTCCGGATAAAGAAAGAGATTTTTATCTTATCTATTTATTACTGTTATCATCTAAGGTTAGTTGTTTTCTAAATATTAATGTAATTATTTCTATCCTCTACAATCGGAATCAATCTTTGCTGTTCCAAAACAAAGCTATGTTTTGTAGTGTAGGAGTAGGTTTGAAGAAAGTTAGGGGTGGCCAGATCAGAACATGGCAGAAATCCATGAAGTCACTGACTAGTGGACTGAGTCATGTTGGTAGATGTAGACTACCTGGTTGGGGTCCGCGAGACGAAAGTCACCAATGGTTAGAGACCTTCAACGACATGTCTGAAATTCGTTTGCAATGGCGCCCGTGCAATAATTCTTTGTGTTCTCTCAAATCCTAATCTTCTGGATTCGTCAACACCTCTACCTTTGTCTTCCTAACCTTATCTCACTGACTTATACTTCTTCAATAATGTCTTCAAACCCTAATCTTCTTTATTACCATTAATACCTCTACTATCTTTATCACTGTGTGATTTGATTTGGCATCTGCGTCTCTGTGCTAATGTGGTATGGCAACATAAACTGATGTACTTACGTACATAGTTTTGCTTTGTATCTGTCTGTCAAGTCGCCAAACTACACTAGCACATGGAGATCAAATTGTCAATGCAAATCCCACAGTAGCAGATGTAGTAGAAGTATTGGCAGTAATGGACAATATTAGGGTTCGAAGATATAATTCAAGAAGTATAATTCACTGAGATAAGCTTAGAAAGACAAAGGTAGAGGTGCTGACGAATCCAGAAGATTAGGATTTGAGAGAGCACAACGAATGGATGCACTTGCGCCATTGCAAACGCTTTTGAGTCATGTCGTTCAAAGTCTCTAACCATCGGTGACTTTTGTCTCGCGGACTCCAACCAGGTAGCCGACACGTACTGACATGACTCAGTCCACTTGTCAGTGACTTCATGGATTTGTGTCATGTTTTGGTCTGGCCATCCCTAGCTTTTTTTTCAATCTGCGCCTACACCAGGCATCATCGCTTGCCGAGGCAGTTGTGTGGTTGGTCATGCGTAACACATGTTCCAACCACTTCAACTGATGAAGCGTCAGTAAATTCACCTATTGATCTGCCTTCCGTACCTAATACGATTTTCCAAAAGACAGCAGTGCTTACTCGGCGGTCCCAAGTTTATCTTGTTGTCCATCATGCATTCTACTTCTTGTGTCCTGATTGTTCTTGATTATTCACAGAATGTTTCTATCAAGTCCGAGACACTGATAACTAACTAGTCTATCATTACTTTGAGATGGTGATAAATATTGTCTTAGCTAAAAATGAGGATTTTTTTCGAAAATTATATTTTTCTCTAGGCTGAAATAGTTTAATCTTTAAGCTTTCGTTATCTTTCTCAATATTATTTGCACAACCAAAGAACGGGTGTACTGCGCAGCAGTTCGCTCCATTCTCCCATATGGATGCGAAACATGGCCGTTAAGAATAGATGTTCGTAGGTGTAGGCGTAGGATGAAAAAAATGTTAGGGGCGGCCAGACCAAAACATAGCACAAATCCATGAAGTCATTGACAAGTGGACTGAGTCATGTTGGTAGATGTAGACTACCTGGTTGGGGTCTGTGAGACGAAAGTCACCAATGGTTAGAGACCTTGAACGACATGGCTCAAAATCGTTTGCAATGGCGCAAATGCTCTCTCAAATTCTAATCTTCTGGACTCATCAGCACCTCTACCTTTGTCTTTCTAACCTTATCTCACTGAATTATACTTCTTGAATAATATCTTCAAACCCTAATCTTCTTCATTACTACCATTAATACCTCTACTATCTCTATCACTATGGGATTTGAACTGACATTTGCGTCTCTGTGCTAATGTGGTATGACAACATGAACTGATGCACATGCGTACGAATTTCTTCGTTGCAACTGACTCTCCGATTAGTTGCATATACTTCAATAAAAAGACAAGTTATTAGAATGTTTACGTCCCATTGACGAACTAGCTCATCGTCGAATAAAATCGTCAAAATTTAAATATTCTTATCATTTGTGTGTGTGGTTTGTGCTACTTATGCGAACGATATAAGTAGTATAAGAAGGGATGTGAAGGAAGAAGTCTCACGGTCAGAAGAGGAAAACGGAAAGTAAATGGAGCAAAGGCAAGAAGTAAATGGAGTACCAACAGAGGAAGAAAAGAAAGCATCAACAGGAATGGAAGAAGGATGGAGCATTGGAAGTGACGACTCAAACATGGTGTGCAAATAGAGTGTTCAATGTAATGTTTTCGTTTTTAATTGACTCAGAGTGTAAATTTGCATAATACAATTTTCCGCGCCTGCCTCAGTCTTCTCATGTGTATATACATTGTAGAGTACAGACAATAGTCGTTCAATTATATTCACAAGTACATGGAGGGAATCATTTCGTTTAGTGGCAATTCTTAAAAGTTTGGCAAATATTATTGGTGTTGATTCTGCACCATTGAATGGTGTGATGCAGCAAGATAAACGTCAATCATCTTTATTCGATTTTCGTACAGGTCGTGTTTCAATACTTGTAGCTACTGATCTGGCTTCGAGGTTAGTTGATTTTGAATGCTTGCTGTTGGGCGTTTTTTTTTCCCGACTTTTTGATCAGTTTTAAACTTGTCAATTTATAATTTGAAGTTTGTTGCTACACTTACATATACATTTTTACTTACTTACTTACTTACCTTGACGTGGTGGTCGGGCTTGCCTATCGTGATGACCCAACCGGGCTATACTGGCTGGAACATATGTTCCTGCAGGTCCTACAATGCCAGGCTGGTCGATTGGAGAACGATGAGACTAACAGCAGCTACCCAGGGTCTGAGGGCGAAGTCGTACTGCTGACTGCAGAGGGGTGTGACAGCAGTAAGGTGTTTCCATTGGACAACCAGCATCTGCAGCGATGCCGCCTTCTCACAAGGAGGGAAGGGTTAGAAAAGGTCGGCCCTAAAAATGTCACACCTCCCCTAACTCACGGATTTCCGTCTCCTTGGGTAAGGGTGCCCACTAAGGGCCTTTAAGGACGGAGCTAATCCTCTAAATACCTTTAATAAAAAGACCGTGCGTGACCGGCCTCAAGCAGTTGTCCCTTGGACTCTGCGGTCACGCACTAACACTAATCCATCTTCCTTTTCAGGTCCCTCAAGAAACAACCTTCCACGGTGTGGGCAGCCGGGAAGTGACAACCGCCCTCATACCCCTAACAGCACGCGACTGACTGACTGACTTACTTACCTACATCTGTTACACCCTCATGAAGCATGAGCCCACAATGTGGTCTTATCCACACAATCGACCTCTATTTTTTTTCCTCAGTGATAAACTGATTTGTTCTCTGTCATAGTAAAAAACCAGATTCCAACTGAGATGTACATGTATGTACATGTGTGTATCATCAGTTCAACATGTGCAGTTTACCTCACATTTATGTCTATGTGAAATAGCTTTTCTGTATTATTCTATCAATATTCTGTTAGTAAACATGTCATTTTAATATGCTTGAACTATTACGAGTTCACCTTAGTCGGAAAATGAGAACGAGGATTGAGAATCCGGCGATACGATATGCTACTCTTATCCGAGTATCCCAACCCTCATCGAATAAAAGAAGAAGGCTTGATATGAAGTAGAACGTGTATTCTAAAAGCATCCAGAAATTAAGAGGTCCAAATCCGGAAGAAGGCAAGCATCCCGTACTGAGGATTCGGGTCATAAAACGTGTATTTATACAGTTAGGCTGGATAGGAAACAACATTGAAGTACGTGACATAGGATGACCATAATATTGACCAGTAGGAACTAACCAATAGGAATTGACCAATGATTCTCCTAGGATATTGGATGAATATCCCAACAGTGACTGGTAAATCTAATTTATTAGTTTTTCAAGTTATACTTCACAAGGGACTGAAGTCAAAAATTTCTAAATAAGGTCAGTACTATTTCATGATATATTTCGTGGTTCTTTTTCATCAACTGTTTACAATCATTTATGTACTATAATAAATTATGATATATTTTATGAAGCAATCAACATGGATGATGGAAAGAATTGAAGTAATGATGACTAGTACAGAATTGAGGTCTTATAAGAATAGAAGGATAAAACAGTGTAGGTCTCAACATACATAAAGGGAAAAGTAAGATTCTACGATACAACACAACATGCGCCAACCAAATCACGCTAGATGGAGATTCTTTGGAGGACGTTGACACCTTTACATAACTTGGCAGCATCATCGACAATCAAGGTGGATCCAATGCAGATGTGAAGGCACGGATTGGCAAAGAGAGGGCTGCATTTCTACAGTTGAAAAATATCTGAAACTCCAAACAACTACCAATCAACACCAAAATCAGGATTTTCAGTACAAATGTCAAGACAGATCTACTATATGGAGTGGGAACTTGCAGAACTACCAAAGCCATCATCCAGAAGATAGAAGTATTTATGAACAGTTGTCTACGCAAAATACTTCGGATTCGTTGGCCAGACACGATCAGCAACAACTTACTGTGGGAGAGAACAAACCAGATTCCAGTGGAGGAGGAAATAAGGAAGAAGCGGTGGAAGTGAATAGGACACACGCTACGAAAAGCACTTAACTGCATCAGAAGACAAGCCCTCACATGGAATCCTCAAGGAAAAAGGAAAAGAGGAAGGCCAAGGAACAGATTACGCCGAGAAATAGAGAAGGATATGAGAATGAACAAAAACTGGAAAGAACTAGAAAGGGAAGCCGAGGACAGAGTTGGTTAGAGAAAACTGTTGGGCGGCCTATGCTTCATTGGGGGTAACAGGCGTAAGTAATGTAAGTAAATGAAACAGTGATCAAATGAAGTACGAAAACAGATAAGGTGACTCGTGTGAGAATGATAGAAATTATGAAAAGTTTCAGATCAGTTGTCTAGAATTAGTAATTGTACGTCAGCTACAACGTAGAACTTCTTACGTACGTATGTAGATCAGTTCAAGTTTCAATACCATGCTAACACACAGAGATTCAATTGTCAATTCAAATCCTATAGTGTAGTTGAGGTAGTAGAAGTATTAACGCTAATCAAACAGATTAGTGATCGAAGATATCATTCGAGAAGTATAATTCAGTGAAATCAATTTAGAAAGAGATAAGAAAAGTTGCATAATCGGTAACCAATAAATAGTTGAAGGAAGGGATTTACATAAGTTTCGTATGGCGAAGGAATGAAAAATGATTTTAGCGTAGATAAAATAAGAATTAGTTTAGCGAAGATTGCCAAGATTACCAAGAGAAGCACAAATAAAACTGACAATCAAAATGGAGAAACATTATCAGGATAGCATTGATTTGGACACATGAATCAGGTTTCAGTCTTTGAATTGCTACTGCAAACCGTAAAGATACTGTGTTGTATTTGTCTGTTAGTAACTTTAAATGATTGGAAATTGTTAACGATGATTCCAGTCTCAATCATATGCCCAGTCATTGTGTGGTGCGAGCTACTTATAAGTAGTATATTACGTGAGTGTCAACGTAATATCTGGTAGCAGAAGATGGGGGAAGATCAAGAAAGAAAGAGTTAGAACACAATGGAATTTGTATGAAACGCATGAATAGTGACAACGGATGTTGATGTTTTGCAACAGGAACAGTCCAGTTCGATATGATGAACTGATATTTTGCAAATGAACGATTTACGATATGGTTTTCCTATTTTACTGAGTAACTCTGTAATTTTCGTTAAATACAATCCGGTTGCCCCACCTGTGTTCTGGTTCACTACAGTTGCACTTCTCAGTCTCAAACTCTCTGGAACGTGTGCTCATCCCGTTATCAATGTTAATTACTTCGCAATCTATCAGACATCATTGTTACACTTTATTACATCAATCATTGTAAGCAGCTGATGAGAAACCACAAAATGTATGATAAATTCATATTATTCTGCCTTAACTGTTGTTCTGGTATTATTTATATTCATAAAGGGAAACAAATTGTATAAAATTTCACAGATTATAGTTTTTGATGGGATTCATATTCTGCGCGAATCAATGATGATTGCATGACGACAACCAAGATCATCTCCTTGCTTTTATTAAGTAAATATTAACCTACTCTTGTGCATGCCTAGCGTCTAACACGTATAATTCTAAATTACTGAGTCTAAACACCTCACAGACGTCAATATAGTTCTTATCTTTCTACAATGCAAACGTTGGCATTAATGTTAACCAGGTTTAAATCCTAAGGGGCATGATAGAGCTAAGCTTCCTTGTGAACTGTTACGCATGCACGTAAACACGTCAACTTGATATACTTGAACTATTACGAGTTTACCTAGTCGGAAAAACGAGAGCGGGGATCGAGGATCCTGCGACACGACATGCTACTCAAATCCGATTATCCCAACCTCCATATTGAGTAAAAATAAGACATGATATGAAGTAGAACCTGTATTCTACACGCATTCAGAAAGTACGAGGTCCGAATCCAGAAGCTAATCAGGATCCCAGACTAGGGATCCGGGACCGGGTCCTGGTCATAAAACGTTGCAGATAATGCGTATTCATACATTTTGGTCGAATAGGAAACTGCATCGAAGTGTGTGACATTGACAGTTAAGACGACCAATAGGAAGTGACATTGATAGTCAGGACAACCAATAAGGAACAACATTGGATCACGTGACATTGATATCTAGGACGACCATAAAATTGATCAGTTTTAATTAACCAATAGGAAAGTTCATCAATAGAATCCCACTGGTACACCGCACTTCATGCCTTCGACGGCTTCAGCATACGCAACCAGTGATTCAAAGATATCTCGTTAAATACTAGTCTATCCTAAAAAAAACTACCTTTCTACACTCCCTAATCTCTACTATTTATTTTTAAATATTGTATTTTACATTGATGAAATGTAGTATACTAAAAAGTTTCTTTTTTCTTCTTCCCCTACTTAAACAACACTTTCATTAAGGGGGTTAGATTTTCCAGATGTTGATCTTGTCATCAATTATGATGTTCCACGTCGACCTTCATGGTCTGATTCAGCAAAAGCTTATATACATCGAGTAGGAAGAACTGCCCGTGCTGGACGACATGGACGTGCTATAACATTGGTTACACCTTATTCAGTGACACGTTTAAAAGCTATAGAATCTGCACTAGGTGAAAGAATTCCTCAATTACCTTGGCCTGGAATAGATTGTTTGGATGTACAGTTAAGACAACAAGTAGTGCAAGCTGACAAAGATGCTCGTTCAGTAAGTTAACAGTGTTTAGTGTATATATTTCATTGTTTTATATATATAGGTTGTATTGGGTTCGTCACTAAGTATGCTTGATGCCAATACGAGTTTACCTTAGTCAATAAACGCGAACGAGACTTTTACCAGCGTCCAGGTAGGCTACCTTGAATCCCCAAAGCGAGTAAAAAGTCTTGGTAAGCGTAGAAAGTATATTCTACAAACACCCAGCCAGCAAACACAGTACAATCAAGCATACAACTCCCGTTTATTTATACAACATAGAAACGTCCTTGGGACAGTCACAGAAATAGTACACTAAAATACACAACAGCCAATCACAGCCAAGGATTTTCCTGGTGGGAAATGTGTGATCTCAAGGTCAACTGATCAGCCCATGCTGGCAAACGTGAAAACCAAAATAAGGCATTTATCAAGCGAATTCTGGGGATCTAACATCCCCAACAGGTTGTTGATTGTAAAATAGTTTCAGATCTTTGATTATTTTCTCAGTAATCATTAATACATGGACTAAAACGAATATATATTCATTGCTCTGACTAATTCGTGAATATCATATGATAAGAGATTTTGACCGGTTCAATTTCAATAACGTCCTCCTTGAAAACACAAACTATTATCTCACTTATTCAAACCGTTGAAGCAACTACCACTTTAGATAATCTCAAGAAATAACTCGTCGAAACCAACTGCTTCTTGCTTTGAGTTTAGTTTTTAGCTTTATCAACCTCTCATTCAAGTTGACAGCAACTAACGAGTAAATAAAATGGCGGTGACCGTTGCGTACATAATGTTAATTGTCTGGTTTGAAAGAAGAATTCTATCTTTCTTAAAGAATGTTTCTCTGACACTTACTTTCTAAGTGTGAAGGTTAAACCATCATTGGGTGACTTACACTAATACCAAGAGTAAAGCAATGACTCAATGTTTAAAGAGTTCAACCTTCCGTCAGTAAGTTAAGAGTACCGATCATCCTACATTGGACACTATGGATCTTGATGCCAAGTGCACAAACTTGTACCTAGTAAGCGTGAGTTAATAATTAATTAGTGTTGGGGGATGTTATATCTCCAGAATTCCCTTGATAAATATCTTTATTTCGGATTTATTTCATGGACCGATCAGTTGACCTTGAGATCACATTTGCCATCAGAGAAATTCTTGGCTGTGATTGGTTAATTGTGTCATTTTAGTGTGATATTTTTATGACTGTCCCAAGGATGTCTCTATAGAGTAAAAATAAACGCAATTTGATTGCTTGGATTCATTGTGTGCTGGCGGGGTGTTTGTAAAATACATTTTCTACGCTATATCAAGACTTCTTGCTGATACGATTGGGACACAATAGCCTACCTGGACGCTGGTTCATTGTTTTGTTCTCTTTAGTCGACTAAGGTGAACCCGCAACGTAATGTTACAAATGCCTAACCACCGACTGCCTCGACGAGCTATGTTTTGTGGTGTAGGAGTAGGTTGGAAGAAAGTTAGGGGCGACCAGACCAAAACATCGCAGAAATCCATGAAGTCACTGACAAGCGGACTGATTCATGTTGGTAGATGTAGGCTACGTGGTTGGGGTCCGCGAGGTAATAATAATCGATGGTTAGGAAACCCTGAATGACATAGCTCACAATCGTTTGCAATTGCGCCGGTGCATTTATTCTTTGTGTTCTCTCAAATCGTAATCTTCTAGATTCTTCAACCCCTCTAGTTTTGACTTTCTAAATTTTTCTCACTGAATCATATTTCTTGAATAATATCTTCAAACCCTAGTCTTCTTCATTACCATTAATACCTTGGGATTTGATTTGACATTTGCGTCTCTGTGTTAATGGGGTATGGCAACATGAACTGATGTACTTACGTACGAAGTTCTACGTTGCAACTGACTGACTGACTGATTGAATTCAACAGACACAATTCCAAATGTAGCACTTACAGAACCATCTTACTGACTAGCCCTTACCCTATTTCAATATTTTCTATAATCGTATACAATTGAAAACAGGTTTGTCCCTAATGTTTGTTAATTTTTTATTCAATTTATATTTTTAAGAAACTACGTGTCAAGGAGAAACAGAAACAAATGAAAATGAAGAAAAGGAATAAAAGAGATTCATTGAATAATAATGACAAATTGCCAAAATCTAAAAAGACACGCAAAACTAACGGAATGAATTCAGACGAAGCAAATAGTGAATCAGAGTAGTTTTCTGTTTTGTCCTTTTACTGCAAGTATTGTAAATACCCATTAAGAACATTGATCTTTTCTTCTTTTGAAATGTATCTATTTGATTCAAATAATACAAACTGTAGAGAAAAAAAACCAATTACACTTTCAGTAAAACTATTAAAAGTTGTAAGTCTACAATCAACCTATCGACTGTAGCTGCCTATCTTGATATGGTGGGTCGGGCTTACCTATCGTGATGACCCAACCGAGCTATATTGGCTAGAACATATGTCCCTGAGTATTCTACCATGCCAGGCAGGTCGATTGGAGAACGACGAGACTAAGAACAGCTACTCAAGGTCTGGGGGCGAAGTCGTAGAGAGGTGTGACAGCATTAAGGTGTTTCTCTCGGACAACCAGCAGCGATACTGCCTTCTCACAAGGAAGGATGGGTTAAAAAAGGTCGACCCTAAAAATTTCACACTTCAATCTACCCCACGGCAGTAAGGCCACTTGAAGAGCGGAGCTAATACTCTAAAAACTTGTCATAAAAATGCTGTGCGTGACCGGCCTCAAGCAGTTGTCGCTTGGGTTCCACGGTCACGCTCCCAGGTCTATAAGACCGACACTAATCCACTTTTCTTTTCAGGTTCCCGAAGAAGTATCCTTCCACAATTTTGGCAGCCGGGAAGTGATATCCGCCCTCATACCCGTAACAGCACAACGAGACCGAATTGGTCACAATCAAATCTTTCCTACACCTCCTAATAATTCTCTCCACGACCAACCCGTCTTTCATTGCTTTGTGACTTCGCGCCACTGATGCAAATGTTTCGAGATCACGAAATATTATTTCTAGTCTCCTGAAACCCCGTTCTACACTACCTGTCTGAGCCTTCAATAAACGAACCTCCAGTCAAATAGGGCGACAGGCTTACTTAGCTAGGACTCTGGAATCCCATGCCATCGATGTTTGTATCCAGGAGATCGAATCGATAGGTAGAACACTTCAGCGATCTTTTCGACTGGCCTTCAGCTACATTTCGGTTGCCCACGATCTCCAGTCACTCTGAATGGCAAATCGATATAAGTCCTTCGAAATTTTTGAGGATGATGGGCTGGTTTTAGCAGTTAGATTGACTGAGATCTTAGGTAGAATCTGGGAACTTGACGTAATACCATCTGAATGGTCTCAATCTCTGATTGTCCCAGTCTATAAGAAAGGACAAAAGTCCTCTTGTGACAGTCACAGGGGAATCAGTCTAACTAATACAGTATCTAAAATATTGGCCTCAATAATGCCAGAGCTCGAGAAAACCATGCTGGTTTTCGACCTGGACGTTTAGACCAAATATTGACACTACGTCCGTTCCTGGAACATAGATACACGTCCCGACGCCTCACAATAGTAGTATTTCTCGACCTTAAAGAGGCATCCGACTCCATTGACCGTGAGGTTCTGGGACAGTCTGTCATTAAAAGGAGTACCAGAAAAGCACATTCATCTTAAACAAGCTCTCTACTCGAACATCACAAGTCAAGTAAGAGCTTATGGCGAACTGTCATCGGAATTAGTTACTTCCAGTGGTATCCGTCAGGGATGTCCACTTCCCCATTCTTGTTTAATTTTGCCGTAGATATGCTTTTAGGTTAAGATTATCATCGTATGACTCTTCAAGAGTGGACCTTTTACCAGGAGACATGCTTGCTGACTTAAAGTAGATGTCTTCGAAGTATTGCTCTTGTATCCTGGGACAACCGAGTAAGCAATGCTGTCGTTAGGAATAGTAAATAAATAGATGAAGTATTGAAACTTCTTCAGTTAAGGTGGTTGGGACATGTGTTACGTATGCCTAACCACCGACTGCCTCGACGAGCCATAATGCCTGGTGTAGGCGTACGATGAAAAAAAATAGGGGTGGCCAGACCAAGACATCACACAAATCCATGAAGTCACTGACAACTGAGTCATGTGAGTGTAGAGACCTTGAACAATATGGCTCAAAGTCGTTTGCAGTGGCGGAGGTGCATTCATTCATTGTGTTCTCTCAAATTGTACCTTTCTTTAATCCTCATCACCTCTATTTTTCTGTTTCTATAATGATTTCACTGAATTACACTTCTTGAATAATGACATCGGACCCTAATCCTCTCCATTACCGTTAACACTTCTACTATCTCTACCACTGTAGGATTTGAATTGACAATTATGTCTCAGTGATGTAGTCTGGCAGCCTGAACTGATGTACGAAGTTCTACGTTGTAACTGACTGACAATCAATCAATCAATGCAACACTGATATTTCCAGTAATCTTCATATTGTTGAAAGTGCATACAATATTCAGAATTTAAACAATGTACAAACCAAATAAGTAGTTACATAATATAAATCGTAACGATTCCGATTCAACCATTAGGTAGATGATTCCCCAAATAAATCAATCAGCACTATTAACTTGATACTCATATCGTTAGTTTTACCGAACACAATTACCCGAAAAAGTATGACCAGGCATCAATATCATTCCTAGCATTCCTCCAATCATTTGACGCTTTTCCGGCTTCTGATCGTTTCGTAAATCCATCAACTACACACGATTGTGGTGCAAAGACATTAAAATTTGCAGTTCTTTCTCAGAAATCATTAAGATTCGTTTTCTTCAAGGACAAATCACAGCAAGTGCAAAGTACTACCGCCGAAGAACTGGCTTTTACCACTGAAAATCACCAAAAGTTTTTCTGTTGCGTAAATTCAAAGAGAGCATATTAATTTTCAATTAAGCAACGTATCAAACAAAATGCGAGATAGATGGATTAGAACCACAGCATCTGAAGCAGGACACCCCCATTGACTGCAGTCTTCTTGACGCTGAAAATTTTAAATTCAATTTCCTGACAAGTATTAGCGGCAGCCATCAAAGGTGGTGGCCAGCGACCCACCATATCTGAACTATGTAGTAACAAAGGCTCACTATCTTATGAGTCATGCCAAATACATTAGAATCTTCCCTAAACGAATAATAGCAGTGAGCTGTGTTCAGACTGAGAGTATACACTGACTTTCCCCCATGAGGAATATTTCATTATCCACTGATGTTTGAAAAAGCACAGCTCTCTTTGTAGTTAAAAAGAGAATATTGTAGATCTCTAACGGGTTAGCATGAAACAGTAAGTTTGACTGTAGATACAAACAGACAAGACTGTTAATAAACTGATTAACTATGCACCTACAGCTAACCGAATATATGACATTTACTTGCACGGTAATCACATTGAATGCACGGGGAATTACGTCTAACCCTAAGTAAAAGAACTCCGCCTGTAGACCCTTCGGGGCTACTGCTGGTCCCAAGTCCGGATAAAGGAGGAGGGTTGGGCATGGGGTTGACGACCCCATCCCGTTAAAAAAACGCTAACCAGAAAAAATAATTCAAACCCTGGCCCTAGCAGTTGGAAGAAGAATTATGACGTCGCGTGATGAAAGTCACGAGGCTGATGCCTCTTCTGACAACCATTCGTTTAGGTACATGGAACGTTCGTACATTGTGGGAGACTGGAAGACTACTTCAAGTTGCGGCAGAAATGAAAAGATACAACCTCGAGGTGCTCGGCATCAGGTAGGACAACTGAGACTAGCTTCAGGGGAACTGCTGTTATACTCTGGTCATGAAGAGGAAAATGCTTCACATACACAAGGAGTTGCACTGATGCTAAGTAAAAGGATATTTTAACAAAGAATATATATGAAACAAATGACTGAAAACACTTTGGCGACCTGATTGTTTACATCCTAACTCTGTTATTACTTCAACCTAGATTGATGGAATTACGCAATCAGCACTTAAATATCAACCGTCTACATCAATAAATAATAAGAATCGAAAAAAACCATTTGTGTAGCTTCAAATGTCAACAGTGAAACATTCAAACAATCAAATGGCTACTAACTGTACTTATTTAAATCAATAAAATGACATGTCTGGTTTTTCTTTCACAAGGACAGTAGACTGCATGCACTGACCCATCTCCTCTGACAAGAAAGGCTACCTAACTAGCTATCATATCACACACATCATATATGTGTGTAGTGCAACGTAGATGTACAATTTAACGGGCTACTACAATGTCTGTATGACAGACAACACACACACAAACTTATTGCTTTGCTACGCTTTCAACAATAACAAAAAAAAGAGGAGTTTGCATTTTTTTGAAGACAATAAATAATAATAATAATAACATTCATTTCATGAAATATACTCATTCACAATCTGTACAAATAAAAATAAATTGTGTTTATATATATATATATATATATAGTTGTTAGCTTATTAATAATAAAAGACATATATATATGTATATGTATAGATATATATAGAAGTGTAAAACAATACAAGCTATCAAAAAACTGTACACAATGTCAACTTACACACGTACACATTCACAAACACACACACACAGAGAGACAGCAGTGTAACAACACTCTCACCACTTACTACTACTGCTACTACTACTCAAAAGAAGGATAGTAGTAGTAGCAGTAGGTGTAGCAGTGATGAGAATGAGGTGACAAATGTATATAAACGATGGTCAACTATATCGAATAGAGTAAGAAGAAAACAATAAACATGCCGCCGCCAATGATGAACATATAGACGAAGCCAGTATACACATCCACACACAAACAGACAGAGACAGAATTAACAAAAATATAGAGAGAGACAGACAGACCGGAAGAGAATTATTCAAAATCCCATTGTATACAAAAATGCCGGGATACAGAGAGAACAAAATAAACATGAATGCACAATTATTTTTTTTTAGAAAAAATAATAAACAAATCAAGTAAATAAGAATAAATATTGTGGCATATTTATGCATGTATGTATATATATGTTTATATGTACACGAACTCTTCTTCATCATCAACAAAGAAGGAGAGTTTTACTTGCATGTGTTCTATGGTTGTTGTTTATAATAAACTTGAACACAAATAATTAATCATTAGGATGATGATGAGAGAAACAAAATAGGTGGACTATTTATTATTATTATAAATAATGTCATCGATAATTGGAGTAGGAACCAATTGAACAAACATTCAGCACAGCAGAGCTGTGGAGGCAGGAAGAGGAATTTCCACGCGTGTGTGTGTGTGCTGTTGTTGTTGTTGCTGTGCTTTGTGGAGGAACGATAACACACACACACAAAATAGAGAAATACAAATATAATGATAAGAGACAATCTTAGAAATGCAACGATTGGAGGAATAATAGTAGTAGGAGTTGTATTTGAATAAACTTGGATGAATGAATGATAATTAATATTATTAATAATAATTATTGAAAAAAAAACTGTACTTGTACTTGCACCACCAGTTTCACATGGATAATGAATGAATGAATGCATAAAAAGGTAGGAAGGCAGAAGGAATGTGCAGCAGTTGTGTGTTGATTTTTTTGACGGAAGGAACAAGGGATGTGGGCAAAAAAAAAGTGTCCATGATGAAAATCTACAACTGATCTACATCGGATTTTAAACGTTTGACTGGTGTTGTAAAAGCTCTAGAAAAAAAAGGGGTAATAATTATACATACAGGTAAATGAGTAAAATATGACAACAGAATTACCAAGATTCAATTCAACATACCGGTACAGTAATAAAAAACAACACGGCTAATTCCACGGCCTCGACGAGCCGTGTTTTGTGGTGTAGGAGTAAGTTGGAAGAAAGATAGGGACGGCCAAACCAAAATATGACACAAATCCATGCAGTCACCGACAACTGGATTGAGTCATGTTGGAAAGTGTAGACTACTTGGTTAGGGTTCTCAAGGCGAAAGTAACCGATGGTGATAGACCTTGAATAACACGCTTCAAAACGGTTTGCAATGACGCAAATGCATCTATTCTGTCTTCTTCCAAATTCTGAATTCCTCATGACCTTTATTCTTCTCTTTTTAATTCACTACACTATACTTCTCGAATCCTAGTCTTCGCTTAAACTTCTACTATCTCTATCACTGAGGGATTTGAATCGACAATTGCATCTCTGTGTTATCATGTTGCAGCATCTTGAACTGAAGTACTTACGTACCAAGTTCTACATTGTAGCTAAGTGACTCCGTCATACGCTTGTGAATTAATTGCTACAGCTAGTTTTGCATCTGTTAGGATATTCACCAAATATCCTAAGAATACTATTTTTAGAAGTGCAATCCTATTGGTCGACTTCTATTGGCCGACATTATGATCGTTCTTACCGTCAGGGTCAAATACTTCAATGTTACCTCTTAATGGTCATCTGGACGGTCAATGTCATTCAAATGTTCTTTTCTATTGGTCGTCCTAAATTGTCAATGTCACAGACGTTGATGCCTTTTCTTATTCCTCCTTCGTGTATAAATACGCGCTACCTGGAAGACTTAATAATTCCGTTTCCCCTGCCTACCTCTTCTGTATTCGACCCAATAAACATCTTCCTTCCACGGTGTTACGTTCTGATTTCTAGGAGATTTGGAAAAGCCTTTTGGGTCGTATTGTGATATTTGAATTGGACGTCGTTAGGACTGAAGAGTTTTACGTAGCAGCGCTACAACAGCATCAAACTATAATAGTTAGTCGCTTGTGTGCTCAAACAAGTACCTACCTTGTTAATGGCTAAATGTCACACCAATCCGAATTCTGAAAGAATAAATCCACGGTGTTTGAAAAAAAATACTTCCAATCGTCGTTCATTTTTAATGTTTTTCTTAACTATTATGCTTCAATGATAACATGTAACTGCTTGAACGCTATTTCGAATTTATCTATTTCATCTTTGAATAGAGAAATGAGAAGACATATTTTGTGAGATAGTACCATTTCGTGCTTTCTCGTCAGTCACATACAAGCAACATCTTATCAAAAGATGCCTTGCCAACTAACTGTGCGTCAAACATATTCCCTACTACTCGACGAATATATAATCTGCAATGATATCTGGCAAGTAAAACTTGTAATACAAAAATCTATTCGAGATAATCTCATCACCAGTGGATCATCAACACACAAGAATGTAAGTACAAAATGCCAAGCTAGTCCTACTGTGGTGTGTTTACTAATACTTCCAATATTCCAAACTCTAATAGACTTTATTACTTACCCTTCTTGTGATGTTCCTAAACTAAGAGCACGCTTAGGAATTTGTTGTGAGGCACTTGTTGCTTGAACATTGATAGGTTGTGCGTTGATACCGCCGGCCACAGAGGTAGGTGTACTAGACACATCTTGTAGCCAACGAACTTGTGTAGCTGGTCCATAGCCTTTTTCATTACGAGCAGCAATACGAAAGATTACAGCAGGTTTTGAACTCAGATCTAAATGAGCAGTAGCCAATGTTGCAGAAGTTACAGTTGCTGACGGTGACTGGCCACAATACACACGAACAAATGCCATACCAGATGGTGTAGAACCAACCTTTAAGAAAAAATAAAATTCAAAGAATTAGGCAGCACATACATATCAGGGGATCACAATAAAGACGATAGAAAAACTAAGTAGACGCTTATTACATACACATCACAACTGGCGAACCTTATAGATAGTATGCATAAAATTACACTGATAAAATATTTAGGTATGTCACTAAGTATGCTTGAAACTATGACGGGTTCACCTTAGTCCATAAACGCGAACGAGACAATGAACCAGCATCCAGGTCGGTTACATTGATCCGAAAAGGCTAAAGAGAAGTCTTGATATAGCGTAGAAAGTCTATTCTACAAACACCCAGCAAGCACACAACTCTCGTTTATTTATACATCATAGAAACGTCCTTGGGACAGTTACGCAAATAGCACACTAAAATACACAGCAGCCAATCACAGACATGGATTTTCCTGGTGGGAAATGTGTGATCTCAAGGTCAACTGATCAGCCCATGCTCGCGGACGTGAAATCCGAAATAAGGATATTTATCAAGCGAGTTCTGGAGATCTAACGTCCCCGACATCAGTATGTCATAGATTTAGAGCATATGGAACGCATTCACATCCTATTCTAGTCGGTTTTATTTTCATAACACCGACTACGATGCCAATTTAGATGGTCGAAGTCAGCACAAGTAGGTAGGTAAGCTTTAAGTGTAATCGTTTAGTTCATTTTCTTATTTTGGTTCATATAATTCTGATCACTTTTTGTTAAACACATGTTTATCATTATAGGAATAAGTAAAACCTTTTAGAAAATGTGAAAAAAATATTCTGTTTTAATGGATGTTGTGTAACAAGAAGACTGGTGGTAAAGTGAAAGTGTAAACATGAATTGATGATATGACTGAAAGTTTGAATGAAACACACTTAGCTGAATCACATGCCGGTAATGTGATCAATCTACCCAACATACCTACATTTAGTTACAATTATCATCTATCTATTGAATTCAAGTTTAAAAATACAGCCAATTAGTTGGCTTAACTAATAATATAGACTTGTTTTAAATTATAAAAATACATCCCATCTGCGGTGTAGTTACAAGTGAAAATAAACACAAACTACTAGTTTTTATCGATCAGTAGGCAAAGCAAGGGCAGCATTTCTACAATTGATGAACATCTGGAACTCCAAACAATTAGCAGCCAACACCATGGTCAGAATTCTCAATAAAAATGTCAAGACAGTTTTACTGTATGTAGAGAAAACTTGGAGAACTGTGAAAGCCATTATCTAGAACATACAAGTACTCATTGACAGTTGTCTTCACAAAATACTTCGGATTTGTCGGCCAGACACTATCAGTAACAACCTAATGTGGGGAAAGAACAAACTAGATTCCAGAGGAGGAGGAAATCAGAAAGAATCTCTGGAGGTGGATAGGACAGGCATTGCGGAAAGCACTCAACTGTGTCACAATGCAAACCCTCACTTAGAACTATGAAGGTCAAAGTCAAAGGAAAAGAGGGAAGGCCAAGGAATACATTACGCTGAGAAATAGTGAAAGGCAAGAGGAAAATGAACAACAATTGGACAGAACTGAAAACGAAAGCCCAGAACATAGTAACTTGGAGAGTGCCGACCGGAGGTCTATGCTCCGTTGAGAATAACAGTAAATAACTAATCTTTATCAATTATTTTGAAGCTCGGAAGTACACACATTCTATAGATTAACATGGAGTTCGTTAAGATCAAACTGATAAAATTCCCTTAGTCTCTTTATCCATCCAACATCAAAATTGATGATAGAAATCAAGGAGAGACAGAGATAAGTAAAAACAATTGTAGTGTGTCGATTTACTGCGTGTTCTTAGGCTCGGTAATTAGCTCGTCTAGACAATTGTTACTAAATAGCGTCTGACGGTTTTTATAAATCAAAAGGTGAACTCGTAGTGTGTTGAATACGTTTATTTTTGGACACACCACAAAGCGAAGCGGAGAAGCAGTGAATAAAACGAATGAAGCGACGTGAATTGGAGAAGGCTGTTGAGCCAACCACTCCCAGGATTACAATCCGAACGAATGAGCTAAGGAAGCGAATGAAAAGGCGAAGCACGTTGCAGAAGGCTAATGAGACAATTCCTTGAGTTAGAGCATGACTAAGAATATATAGTCAGACAAATATAAGACAGACATGTGACTAACGAGATAGGCATGCACACATGAATAAAAGCGACGAATGATTGACAAGGTCAAATGACAAGTGGGACACGTCATGTGAGCTCATACAAACCAGACAATAATAAGAACGAATGGTACATATAAATTGTTGCAATACAAATTATGGCTTGGTTAAATAAATTAATCGAAAGGGCTTAACCAAATTAGATGTAAGCCAACTGGAATATATATGTGGAGGCACTACACAATCATGAAACATGATAGGAAGCTGATTTCCCTTTACTTCCCTAATGAATGGTAAGTATTTGTGTGGTTTTATTAAACATGCCCTCCTCCTTCAAGAACAGTCTTCAGTGTAAGCAAAATATATTAATATTGTTCTTTTTCTATTTCTTTTATTACTGTTCAAAAATTAGCATCTGCAGTGCAACTGCTAACTCCGCCAGTAGAACCTTAGGGGCTACTGCCGGTCCCAAGCCCGGATAAAGGAGGAGGGTTGGACATGGGGTTGGCGGCCCCATTCCGTTGAAATCTAACTTGCCAAAAAAACGCTAACTAGAAAAAATAGTTTAAACCATTTTAACTCTGCCCTGGGAGTTGGAAGAAGAATTATGACGTCTCGTGATGAAAGCCGAGTTCCCTCGGAAGTCACGGGGCCGATGCCTCTTCTGACAACCAGAGCAACCATTTTTTTAGGTACATGGAACGTTCGTACATTGTGGGAGACTGGAAGACTATTTCAAGTTGCGGCAGAAATGAGAAGATACAACCTCGAGGTGCTCGGGATCAGTGAAACACATT